CACCCGGAGGGGGGGGGGGGGGGGGGTTGCAGTATTGGAGGGGTTGCAAATACAATTTGCCCCAAGCTCAGTCCTCCTTTGCTTGGAGTGTTGAGATCCGGACAGAATGCTTTTTTTTTCATTCTGCATCTAGCCTGCTGCGATAAGCACTCTTAAAGCGGACCTTTACACTCAAAAATCAAATTCTACCAATGTATTGATGATTAATAATAACATATATAATAACAATATTTACATTTGCAGAGCATTCACTTCCTGATTTGAAAGTGCCATTTACTTCAGTTTGCCAACGCAATGCACACTGGGATTACCTTATCAGAAGAGCATTGCTGGAAAATCTCATCTGTAATCTCATGAGATCTCAGGAAAAGGCCTTTTCCTCCAATGAGATGATGTGCATGGTCACATGTCCTAGTCAAATGCCCGATTACATGTTCAGAAATCCAGGAAGTAATAGAGCTAGTTATCTGCCCTTAGTAAACATGGCCACTTTTAGAAGACTGGGGAAGAAAAGAGAAATAAGGCATGCAAGAGAATACAAAGCCAGCAATTATCTGGAAGTATGTGTTTGTAGAGTGTTATTACTAAACATTTCTAAAGGTGTGTTTGTTGTTATTTTTAAAGATATGGGTAAAGGTCCGCTTTAAACAAGGTAACTCACTATACTGGGTTTTCCCTATCAGCAATGTGTATTTTCTTAAACAAATCTGTAAATGTACTTTAAAAAAAAAGTTATGTGTCAGGGAAAGTACCTTCACCCCATCATACAAAATAACGTGAACACTCAGACCTCATATGCAGCACTGAGCGGCTCTCCACTGCCCTTCTAAGTTGAATCTAAGTGGAGCAGTTTCATATATTTACATACTTCTCATAGTATATTACATACAGTATATTGACTACTAAATTCTTCCTCTAGTAGTAGTCTGTATTTTACTACAGTAGCTTTCCTGCTCATAAGCTTCTTTTTTTTTTTACAGTCCACAGCAACAATTAAAACAAAAAAAACGTGCAGCTCGCCCACCCCAGTTAATACCAGGCCCTTTAGGTCTAGTAGGAAGTTCAGGGGGGACCTCAACACCAAAATGAGAAAAGCATGGGGTCCCCCCTAAAATCTGTTACCAGACCCTTCATCTGAGCAGCAGCTTGGAAGAGAAATAAAGGGGGGGAGAACGAGCATGCGCCCCCCGCTCCTACACCATACCAAGCCATCTGCTCCCAATGTCTGCCTGATAGTTCCAGCTCTGACATCGGAGCCAGCAGGCGCTGCCTGACAGAGCCTGTCAGAGGTACCAGTTGCCAATGTACTGTATGCTGGGGACAGTGGGGCCCTGGGGGGAGGGTGTTGTGCACAATACATACCTTCACTGAATCTGAGGGGGTTATATAATTAACACTTCTACCACCAATGAAGCTGCAGAAAAGGGTAGAAATGCATTGCTCAC